GACTTGCCGCCACCTATTGGCGGTTTTATTTTTAAATCTACTGTACAAGTATCGCTTCGATTTGCCATCATTTATTGCTTTATTTAAAAAAATATTGCTTTATTATATTAATAATACACTTAATGGAATGTTAAGAATATGACATAAAACATGACATACAATTAATAAGGATAGCAAATATTTGCCTCTATAAAGGTAAAAAATGCACCTGTAAATCAATTTAAGGGTGCAAATATTGTCCTTTAATAGAAAAGGTGTGACTGCGGTCTAAGTGGAAGAGAGGGGGTATGCAGAAGAATGTTAAATGCCCCAGGTGGTACGCTGCTGTAAAAAGTTTGAGAACCACTGTTTTAGGCAATATAAAAAATCCTGGCCAGGATGTGTCCCATATAAATGGACACATCCACCCTACCCATACTCAATCTAACATGAGTTCTAGTTTGTACTTAAAGGGCTCATCAGATGCCCATTTTCCACAAGTTGATATGATTCTTTACTGTCTTAATGAAAAGTCTAGTGTGAAAGTAGTGTAAAACAGCACCCTTTTTAGTTTTACCTTGCCAAAAACAGCTCTGCACACAGCAAGCCATTTTAGTGCATGTCTCTTTAAATGCTAATGAGCTCTGCTCACCCCGCCCCTCTCTTCCCTGGGCTGACCAGCCATTCTCATGAGACTGTTTACTTTAGCCGCTGAACTTGCTAACTAGCATGTTATTATGAAAGGCGATTTGCAAAGATTCATAAAAGAACCGTATACTCGCTTCTTCTGTAGGTGAGGCTGGATCATGAATGATTCACGCGAACATAGTGTGCATTTAAGTAGATTGGGGGAGTATTCTCTTAAAAAACAAAGGTAATTCTCTGCGTCTTCAGCGGCTCAGAGGTCGGGAGTAAATGACGAATGCTATATTCATTATTACATCCGACAACAAAACACCTCAATCGTTTAGGAGACATTCTGCTCCGGCTTCAAAACAATGGCGGACTGATGACAGCTCACTCAGGGTGGGTCTAAGGTAAAACACCAGTGTCAATCAACAATCGTGGGGAGGGGCCTGGGTCTGTGTGACGTCACACAGCCACGCATCTGAGAACGGCTTGATTTGAGAAAGGGGATATTATTTATAGGGATTAAAAAAAACACTGGGTGGATTTAACAAAATCTACTAGAGCCAATCATTTCAGAATAAGTCGTGTAGCAATGTAGCAATTTATTATTATTCAGGGAAACATGTATCATGCCAATGTAGTCAATTCAGAGATAATCAAGACGTCAAATTCTCACAGGTAAATCCAAGAGTAAAAGATGCATACCTGACTTCAGAAGGATATACATAGTTTGAAGAGTATGAAATATATCTGGTTACATAATTACATAAAATATTAGTCTTTTGAAACCTTTCCTTGAGTACAAAGACCAAGATAAACATTCTCCAAATGGATGCATGAAATAACAGTTGGAAGGTGCATTGGCTAGGATCAAAGACTAGCTTCCTCTGTTGAGGAACAACAGGTAATTTGTATGCGAGAAAATATCTCTGAACTCTAACTTTTTTTTAGCTTTTAGTCTATTTCTTTGGACGTGAGACCATTGTACTAGTCTGAGATATTTTGATACCACAGATAACGGTTAATTCATTTGCATTGGCATATTTTGCATATGGTTATTCTGAGTGAGCTGAGTAAAGGGAAGGAAGTGGGGCAGAAGGAACAAATGTGTGAAGGAAGAGGTGTTTAAAATGCCATACATTTATTCGACCTTGTTTACATGGCAACAGAATACGATTGTCAATCCTGTATCGAAGTCTTTCATGCAGTTGTTTTAATACACATTTAGGTTATTTAGGTTAATGGAGTGACAACCACATTCTTATAACTGAGGTCATACTCATACATTTTCTGGATTCACAACCACATTTTTGGCGAACTTGTGCTGTGAACTAAAAAGGACTCGACAATTATTCTGTCATGTAATACAGTGAGCCACTCTGTGCTAAGTGTGCATGTTTAGCAGGTGGTGCAGGTTTTGTGCGGTTTCAAAAAATCACAAATGGAGACATAAGTAGTGCGTTATCTGGTTGTTTTAGATTCAGTCACGGTCTTCCACTGGAGCTCTAACTTTATCCCCCTCAAAAATAGTGACATTACCACCTTGTTACTGAGAAATATATTTTAGCCATTCAGTACACAATCTATTTATTAGTAAATTGCAGGGAAGCGCTGACCAGTTCTTGTGCTGTTGAATGTTTCTGTGAACAATTGCGTCTCTACATGTGTTTGTTTGCTCATGCTTCAACGAAGGCAATACATTACATTTACATTTATGCTTTTAGCAGACACTTTTATCCAAACCAACTTAAAAAAAAAAAAAATTAATTCAGAGGAAAACATTAATTCAAAACAGTAATTTAAATTGGTTTGAACTGCCTGTGCATTAAACAGTTTTAATGCACACCTTCCATTCAGTGTGAATTGAATATTCAGCAGACCATGGTATAATTAATTAAATTTTAATGTCAAATTACAATAAATTTAAAAGAAAGTTGTTAAACTTACAGTTGTTAAACTACGATTTGACAATTAAAGTCTGGGTGAAGCTTGAATAATTGATTCTCAAAAATATCTTAAAGGGGTGGTTAGCGTTTTTTTTTTCTAGGCTTGATTGTGTTTATGGGGTGCAGTCTGAAGCCTCGTACACACCGGTACGATAAAAGAGCGCGTTTTTTTCCGACGTTTTTCGACGCGTCTTTTGT